CTGAGGTGGCCCCTGCAGTCAGTGCTGTTCCCCTAACTCACAGGAGAGGACACAGAATGGTTGGGACTCAAGGGCTCAAAGGCCACAAGGGCAGCGTGCAGCCAGAATTTGAAGCCAGTGCTATCTGATTCCCAACGCCATGTTCTTCTCCATCTACAGGAAAAGGTGGACTTATGGTTTATTTTGATGCAGTTATGTTAGTATGTTCAGAAATTTCTTCAAAACCAGGAAACTCTTCTGAATGCTATCATGAAAAGAAGTGTGTGCCATGGGCCAGCTGGATGGCGGCCTTTCTTCAGCCTATGAACGCCCCCTTTACCCAGTCTGAAATCTTGCCTTTTACCCAGGGCTCTCCTTTAAAAACATTTCGTTTCTTAAGCTGATGGGTAATTTAGTGAGTTCCTCTGAAGAAACATGGGAAAACATGGATCCCAACTTTACTTTTTTTATAGACCTCAAAAGCTGACTTTGTTGAATTCTGAAGAGATCAAATAGTCTATTAGGGCTAAAATTACATAAACTCTCTGCCTCAGTAATTTCATTTTAGGAATTTATCTCACATAAATAAAAGCAGTGTGACGTCAGGCTATAGGTGTGATGGTGCTCGCTGCGGGGGCATTTGTTATAACAAACCTTGGAAACCATCAGAATGTCCACAGATGGGTTGAGTAAAGAAAGGTACATCTATATTAAGGAATAACACGCAACTATTAAAAAGGACAAATCAGAGGGGGATGCCCATGACAGATTTTAAGTTCAAAAATGAAGTTATAGAACAATGTGTATTGTATGATGCTATTTCTGTAAAACAGAAAACGCTGTATCTTTGTGTGTGTTTGCATTAATTTGGAGAGAAGGGTAGAAAAATATTCTTTCGAATAATCTCTTGTCAATCTGGTGAGGGGGTGTGGAATGGGGGCAGATCATTAGTTCTAGAAGAAAGAAAAGTATAGAGTACCTGGTGTAAAGAACACATCCATACTTTGGCTGCTTCATTAACATCTCAATGGCGATTAGTAACTCAATCCTCTTTGACTAAGAGAAGCTACTGTTTTGAGTTTCCCTCGCAGCATTGTGCTCTCTTCTTCAGGTTGAAAGGGTTCCAGGAGTTCACTTTTCCTGGTGCCTAAAGTGAAGATGCCAAGATTTCCCTGAAGGAAGGCTACAGAAACAATTGTTTCTACTGGTCCCATAATCAGCTATCAACACGGAAGACAAAATGAGGTGACGCTTTTTTAAAGGGAGGAGAAGATGATGCCGTTAATGTGCAGTCCTCCCTGGGTCTGCCTGTTCAGGAGAGATTTGCTGCAAGTGCTCTGCAGGTCTGGGGGAGGCCTGTTCCTGAGGCCCTCTGCTTGCACTTAGCCCAGCGGCCATTTCTCAGGGAATATTGATCAGAAGTACTCACCTCCACCATCTGAGGAGCATAATGCAGTCCCTCAGTATTCTTAGAAAAAAGCTTTTCTTTGCCAGGCTATTTTCCGAAGTCAAAAAGATCCTTTCAGGAGCTATAATAGCAAGCCCCTTCCCACTTCACACCCTAGGTGAGAGGCGCACTCCAATTTTCAGACCCCCAGGACCTCGTGTCAAGGGGGAAGCTGACAAGTGTGACCTCTTTGTATTAAATCTTCTCTGTCAAACTCAACAAGCACTTTGCTAGAGGGAGAGGTGGGAGGTGGGGCCTATAAGTGGAAGATTAAAAATTACACCTGGACACATAGGGAAGCGTACTCTTGTCCCAGAGAGAATCTATTCATTTATCCTTTATTTCCTATAATAATGTTTTAAATAGAATTTTTGATCACAAATACAATGTCCGCTGATATCTGAGGCAGGAATATCTTGGTGTGAATGTCAAAAAAAAAAAAAAAAAATCTAGTCAGTGTCTTTCATGTCTGACATGGCACAGAAGGGAAGAGGCTAACTGGGCCTTCCGAATTTCTCTTTTGTTCTGTAAGAGGCAGAATCTTCCAGACTAGTATTTCTTAACATGACAGCTTGTTATAAATTCTCACGCCTTTCATCTTATCCAATTTAACTTAAGACAGTGGAAATTTAGGTATTAAATGTATTTTTAATTAAAATTTTAACAACAAAAAAGAAGCAATCTCCAATTCCAGCAAATTCTTTTATATTACTCAGAAAGAATATCACCTCAGAGTTCCTGCAGGTTTTGTTGCTGCTGTTTGATTGTTTAGGAGGCACATTTGAGAGGATAGTTGGGGCAGAGAGACTATTACTGTTATTTAAAATGCTCCTGACTCCCTGGGTTGTCATCTGGTCTTGTTATGTTATCTGAGGGCAAAGATGTGGTTGGAGATGCAGGGGGCGACACCCTAGGACCCTCTGGCCTCGGTTTTGGGAGCAAATCTCTTTCCACTTCACTCAAGAGTGGTCCTTGGGGTCTGTAAGGACATTGATGTGTCTTCACCTTCTTTCTCTTAAACTCCTGAAACATAAAACTTTTTTCAGGAGACAATGAATAGAAAATTTTGGCCAAACTGTAGCAAGTGCTAAGTCACTCTGTGGATGTGTGTGTGCAGAGAGCAGAGGGGGACCTCCTGGAGCGTGGCAGGCCTGCCCATGCTTACCACCAGCACCATGTGCAGCTGCGCCTGCTCCTGTTTCTTTGCGTCAAAGTCTATTTTTCACATCTGAGGACATGAGCAATTTGTCTTTTCAGAGATGTATTATCCAGTGGTTTCCAGAGTCATAGAGAAAAGTCACTTCCAGTGTCCTCTTCTGTGCCCGTAGGGAAAGTAGGTGGGCGTCTCCAGTCAAAACACGTTCCCCAGTGCTGGCAGATCCTGGCCTGTGTTGTGCCCGGTCCGTGAGAGGAGGGTCAGGGTGGCTTCAGACTTGACCTTAGGGAAATCTTCACAGTAGCCAAAAAACCACGGAAACTACATTATCAGCAAACAGTCTGTGCTCTGGTTAAGAACAGAGACTGCTGTGAAATGGGGGTGTCATCAAGAAATGGGGCCCAGGAAACTCAGCTCCTGCCTGGAGCTCCACTTTCTACCTCTGGGAAGCCCAGTGAGCCAGTGTCTTGAAGCATCTTCTATATCCATAGAAAAAGGTGGTTGGAAGTGGGGGGACGACCTTTCTGACTAGAAGTCTGTGCCTTGGGTAAACCAGATACACAGGGATGAAGTTTACTGTGTGTTCCATTTCCATGACCTTCACTTTTTGACTTGAAAAATGAAACGTAATTAAAACCACTTTCACTTACAGAAGGATGAGCAAATGAGAATAGTTCCCCTTGACACAAAACTATTAATAAATAAAAGGGGCCTCAGTTTAGTTTATACACATACACAGGACCATGCACTAGCTCAAATGTGCACAGAAGTGAAAATATACAAATGTCTGAGCCTTATCGCCAAGAGAGATTCTCCACTGCAGCAAACATAGCACACGCCGGCACTTTTCCTGGAATACTTAGAGAATTATACTATGGCCAGGGTGTACCTTAAGGGTATTCCTTCTTTAAATTATGGCACCTAGCAAAAGCCAAGAAAGGCCAAGGAGAGCACTGTTTGTAGCGATGGTCCTTTTGGAACCACTGGGAGTTGAAATCTTTTTGGAATTCTGCTGAAGGTCTTGGATGGTATGGCCTAAAATTTGGTGAGTATTTTTTGAAGATGACCAGGATCCTTCACAGGAAGTGTAAGTGACTGGAATACCGCTCCCTGCCCCCCCCCCCCCAACTTTTTGTTATAAATAAGACAAACTGCTCTATGAGATTTTTCATAATAATATCCTGTGAAATTCAAATGATTGTTTCTAGAACCGAAAAGAATCCATAATTGATCCTGGAGGTTATACGGGCATCTCTAAAGTGGAATCATGAGGCGGGGACACTACACTGAGCGGTTGCAGAGGACCCAGCTGCTCCTCAGGGAGTCCTCGCTCATGTTCTCTCCACTCCAGGGTAGACACGCAGGCGGGACGGGAGGTCAGGGCTGCCCAAAGCATCACAATGGGGCTGCTCCAAGTGCCTCAACCCAAGTCTACCTGCAGGTCAGAGTCCTCAGGGGACAGGGGAGCTTAGAAAAATAGACATGCTGGGGCCCTACGCAGGCCTGGTGGGTCAGAATCTAGGTGGGGATTGGGTGGCACTCTGCATCTTGTGGAGCTTCCTAAACAATTCTGATGCACAAGGCTGGGAACCACTGCTTCTAGGCAAGGAAGCTCTAAAACTCTGTGTGAAGCTTCATTCTATGAGCAACCAAGTATTAAAAGCACCACATACCTTCAAGCAAGTTCTTGCTACCAGTCAAAAGCTAAAAAAGCGCCAAATTGATTCAGGCTCTACTTGGTTACCAAGAAAGCATCTGGACCCTTTTTGAGGTCACTGAAATGTCTTGTAAGTGATAAGTACTCAACAAATATTTGCTAAACAGACAAATGGATGATTTTAGAAAGGTCGATTGCCTAATGTCCTGGAAGTTCCCTGCTGCCCAGAGCATAGGAGTAGCCCAGGACACTGGTAGAGGCCACCTGGCCAGGTTGTCAGAATGTGATGGTTGGAGTCCTGAGGCAGGGCCATCAACACTTCTTCAGCCACACCAACACGAGGTTGTTGTAACATCTTGTCTATCACTTACTCACAAAGACAAACCCTCAAAGTTGGCCTCTTGCTCCTCAGGGCCAGGGACTCCAGACCTCTGGGAGGGTGGCTAGTGCAGAGAGCTGCCCTGGAGAGATGAGAGTCAGGGCCAGGGCCCACTGTGCGCCTGGATACAAATCGCAGGAGATTCGGACCCAGCTATTTGTAATCATGAAGACAGGATGGACTTCAATATGAGATGGATGGAGCTTGGACTCAAATGTTCTTATGAGTGGATCTTAGTATTCTATGTTAGGAACTGAGAGGCCAACTCTACATGAACACATTTGTAAACTTCCCAATTGGTACTGGCTACCATTTTGGACACGTACTTAGGCTTTGAATGCTTTTGAACAGCTTCATCTGATAATAATGCAAACCATCTGTGTTAGATGCCAGGATAAACTTTATTTTCCTGCAAACTATATTGAAAACAAATGAAACATATGGCACTCAAGTGCTGTGTTTCTACTTTATTAAATCATCACAGTAAATCAGAATTAAAGAGAAAAAGAGGGTAAACTGGAGGCAAGTGGCGGTCATCGGGGGAGCTGTGTGCTTTTCCGGGCGTGGCACGCTCTGCTGCAGTGTGTCGTGGCGCACACACCCGCCTGCAAAAGTGGGTTATACGTAAAGGCCTATCTCACCTAGACATAAACCTAGATGTGGAGCATTAGGAAAATTAAATAACAAGAGATAGCAAAATAAAAATCAAGTGACACACTATAACTTAATTTACCATTTTTATCAAATTTTTTCCTTATTTACATGTACTAAATATTGTAGACCTGAAAACATTCACTTAATGTGTATGTCATACATAGATATTGAGTGCAACTAAAACGATGGTTGTCTCATGTTGAATTTCCCTTCAGTGCGGACATTCCCCTTTACTAGGTATTAACGTAACACAGTTACATATAAGACATCACAGTAAGTTTTAAAGGACCCCTCAACCCTTCAGATGATACAAATATAACAATAAAGGAAGCACAGGTGGTCACGCCTGAGGAAGGTCAGGAGGATGTGATTTGCATTGTCTACGGATCTGCGCGATCTCTTGCTTGTAAGGCTAAGGGTCCCATCGGTCAGCCCCTGTCACCAAGTCAAGGCTTAAACCACCCCATCCTCTCAGCGGCTCTGAGGAGCTGCAGCCTTAACTGGATGAAGATACTGGGACAGTCACTTATCCAAGCTAAATTTCCTCACTTCTGTTTACTTAAGGTTTTACTATTTAAAAAAGAGTCAGTTTGTAGAATTACTATGCTCTTTTAAGTACAAGAACCTACTCACTGAGACTACAGAATATCAGCTTTGCTTTAGATGGACATCAGCGTGTAGACAAGTGAGGGGGCTGGCCTGGCCCAGCCTGGAAGCCAACGGGTCTTACCATTTTGAGCCAATTAGGGCCACTCTTGTTTACAGATGGCTGCCCTACTAATGATGAAGTCAGCACTGTGACTCAGGCGGGTCCCCACCGGGTGAGTGACCCTCTGCAATTCTGCTGAAAGGCATTTATTACAAAAGCACAATGTTTGCTTTTCTAGGTGAAAAAAAAAAAACCTTGATCATTTCAATTTTCCACCCCAAATAACAAAATGATTCAAGTCTACGTGATTATGAGCAATCTTGTCGCCAGATTCCCTGTTCCCCCATCCCAAATCTCCCAACCAGAGTCGTTACTGAGAAGAGTCGGCTTAGAGAAAGCTCCAGTCACAAAACTGTTGGCAGTAACCTGGGGTCGTGAGTTGTTAAAATCATTAGGGATCACAGGAAGGTCTGGATATTTGCTGCCTACAACCGAGTCTCCCACTCCAGGGTCAGGAAGACTGGCTCCCACAGAGAAAAGGGAACCATGGAGCAAGAGTCCAATGTGACTTCCAACTTCTGACACTTGGACTAAATCCAAGAATTCTGCAACGGGGGTTTCTAGAGCCTGAAGGTGAAGTGCTCTCCCAGAAGCTACTTGCGTCAGAGACTACATGGGACTCTGGAGCCAGGAACATGTGATGCCCTTCTCTGCAGGAACGAGGTCGGGGTCCTTTGTAAATGTCACACAAAGCAGCTTGACCAGAGTCTCGAGTCTGAGCAATATGGGCCAAACCATGCTGACCAGAAAGCTCAAGTCATCAGAAAATGGGGGAGGGTGGGAAGGTAAGAATCATGACACTTGCTGACAGAGCGGAAAATGCTGTGACTATCAGTCACCCTCCATACTGCCATTGAGCCCCTCAATAAGTGAACAGATCAGGCCATTTACAGAACAACCCACGGCTCGCGTCTTCTGTTTGGACTGCCCCTCGATCTCTGATGTTCGGAGTGTGCTCAGGCTGCTCTGTCTCTGGGCCTGGGCCTCCAGCCCTGCTTGCAACCCTCTATAAAGGAGAAAAACAAATTCTCTCCAGAACTAGAAGGTCCATCCTTCTAATAGAAATGACTGTCTCAATCCTTTCTCACTTGTCCCCAAGGCAAGTCTGGCTCCTGGGTCTGCCCGTCTCTCCTGCAAAGGTCAGGTACCAGCCAAACCAACTCCATGGCTGATGGAAAGAACTGACAGGTCAGTGAAAATGGCGGCTGTGACAGGGTGATTAGGCTCAGTGGGCTCACCAGAAAGGTGAGCAGAGCAGGCTGTGGGTAATGACAGTGGGCACAAGAGTAGAGAGGCAGAGGGCAGGGAGAGGCAGGAGAATATCCTCATGGCCAGCCTTTCTTGGGCCCTTGGTTAGTGGCAGTGTTCTTCGTGCTGCTCTCCGTCGTGGGCCGAGGGCTTGCTATGGAGACAGGCCAAGGGCCTGCACCAAACAGGACTTCTCTGTTGTCTGACTTCTCTGTTGCTGACACCCACAGACCCCAGCAAGGGTGCTGGGCAAGCACAGATGGAAGGGGAGCTTTTCATTTTTTTCCAAACAGGCTCAACATGCCTTTCTTGGATCCTGTCTCTTGCTTGGAATCTGTTACCCTAAGACTCCACGTGACAGGAAGGGTTTCTAGGGCCCCTGCCGTGGCACCCTCTCGGCAGCGGGTAGGGGAAGCTCTCGGAGGCAGACAGACATTCCTGGGGTGCCCGTCTCAGTCCACTGCCCGAGCTGGGGGCACCTTGTGCTGACGCGGCCCTGTGTTGAGTGGAGCCTTGGAAGGTTTCCTGACCTACGGGAACTTCGCAGGGACAGGACCCTGCACTTCTAGAACCATCTGAGTGTTCTGTGACAGGAGCATCACTGTCACAACCTGGAGGGCCTCCAGGATGGTCAGGAAAACCTCTCCCCAGTTAGTGGGTCTCAGGCACCAGGTGGAAAAACACTCAGCAACTGAGGTAAAACTTCTCATGGGCTCAAGACCCCAGGGAGAGCCAATTTCCATGATGAAATTTTTGAGTAAATCACAAATCCTAACATAGGAAGAACTAGCAAAATCAATGCAGAGAACATTCCTCAAACAATGTGACAGTTGTTTGGCTGGTCCCTCTGTTAATCTCACTTGAGTTTATAAATGAGAGGAGGTAACTTCGGGTACAGAAACCAGCTGCCCTCTGCCCTCCCTGAAAGCCCAGAATCTTCTCCTGCTGGCTCTGCCCGGGCCAGCCACACCAACGCCCACGGGAGAGCGGGGCAGACTCTCTGTTGGTGACTTTTTCTTTTCTTCCTTCAAAGCCCAAGGTTCATGAGGTTTCAGGCAAGATGACACCGCCTCATTTGAAGGTTCAATCCACAACAATTCGGTGGGTTCACGTCTAACTTCAGAAGGCCATTAACAAGCACACTTGCTGAGGGTGCTAGCAAAGCAACGTGTCCTGGAGTCTCTGGGTTTGGGGGTTTGAGGTGGGGCGGTAGGGCAGTCTCCTCACCAAGAGGCGCCATGTGGTGGGCTGGCGGCTAGGGCCCTGCAGAGAAAGCAGAGAAAGATCATGTCAGGGCGCCAGGCGAGGCCCTTCTGGGTACAGATTCACGGGGGTGCGTGGGGGGGGGTGTGTGTGGCATTCACAAGAAATGGAACCATGTCCCCAAGAAGAGGGTTTGACAACTTCCCTGTGCGGCACATGCAAGGATGTTTGTTGAGAGAATTAACAAATGAACGTCCTTCTTCCCAGTCTTTGCTCTGGACTTTCCTGAAGCATAAAGAAACTATGAATCTTTCTGAAATTAACTCGGCCTTACTGTCCAATCCACAAGTAAAGAATGAAGAGAAAAGGCATCTGATTGAAGGGAGGAGGAGCCAATGAAGCACACTGTCCAGAGTCAACGAAAAAGCAAGTAAAGCCTCACAGGCAGCTTTGTGGATTTCTGTGGGGGTTATTATTTAGACGTATTTACATATTGATACTTTACAGAGTGAGTTACAACTTGATTACTCCCCAAAGGATCTGAGACAAGAGGTCAGGACTAGGTTGCCCGTCTGAATGAGTCCAGATGAGCACAGCGCTATTTAGCACTGGAGGGAGAAAAGAGTAAAACGAAGTGCGCGTGGCTGCAGCTCTCCCCTTCCCCAGGCTGCCCGGGCTCCTAGGGATCCAGGAACGCCTGCTGCAACACCCAGCCGCTGTTGCCGGTGGAGTCTGCTCTCCCGGGGGCCGCTCTGCGAGGGAGACGATCATTTCATCACCCTTCCCCTCGTAATCTATTTTTAAACCGTGCTGTATTACACCCCAAGCTTCCAGGCTTGGAATGAACCTCAAAAGCAGGCTTCTATCTTCCTCCCAACATGCTTCACTTCCAGGAGTTTGGCCTTTGCAATTTTTATTATTAATGGCATTTGAAATTAATTTACGTAAGTTATCTTATTCACAGACAGCCTCTTTTTTCATTTTCTGACCTTCCCTTATTGTTTCTAGGAAGAGTCTCTGAAATCTATACTTGCAGACATGCTTGGACCCGAGGAGGCCAACCTTCCCCAGTGTGTTCCAAAATCCAGCATTAAGACTCCCACAGCTGGGGCTCTGCTGTCTCCTCCTTCTGTCCCAGGAAGGTCAGGCAGGGAGAGGAAATGCCGCGGCTTCTCTCCTGCTATTTTTGCCTTTGAAAACAGGCTGCTTTTGACAAAGGCAGCACAGCTATACCATCACCCATAGCAGAAACGGCACTGGTAACAGGCATCTCTCCATCCCCGGGTAGCTGGAGGTGGGAGTGGGAGCAACATTGGGGAATGACCCTGATTTAATTTCAGATAATATTCCATTTTGAAATAACTTCACTTCAAATTGTATAAGATTTCACATTATTAAGTAGGAACCACCCCATTCACTATTGTAATCAGATCAATTGGGAGAAGGAAGCCAAGAAAAAGCAAGTAAATGAAAGAGACAAAGTGATGTTCAAAGATCTGATGTTAAGTGAAAGAGTAATTCTGGATCAGAAGGGGAAACATTTAACCCCTCCGCCCCCACCCAGGGAGGGCACAGAGGGGAGCACTTCACAGCTCCGCAGGACGGCAGGTGGACAGGGTGCCGCCAGCTTTGACAAGCTGCATGAAGCTCTGCAGCAAAGCCGCCTTTGCGCATCTGACAGCAGCGTCCTCAACCAGTGGGGCAAAGGGAAGGTCACACCTGAGCAGGAGCCTGCACTACGGTGCCTCCTGCATTTCTCCAGTCCCCAGCTTCCTGCTGGCACATCCCCAGCTGGGGATGGCTCCTGCCTGCCTGCTGCACCTGGTGACTGATGGGAGGCAGCAGATGTGGAATAAGCACAAAGGAGGGCATTCCACTCGCAAGCTGCTGGCAGCCACTCCACTCACTTGGCCTTTCCTTGTGCTGGAAGCTGGGGGTCTGTTCAAAGGACGCTTGAGTCCCAATTCACTGCTTCTGGGGCGGGAGCAGGGGGACATGAATGGATTGGGGGGCCCAGAAAATAAAGACCTTTGCATGAATTCCCGCTGCTGGTGGGGACTGAAAAGCCCTGCTCCGTCCCACCCAAAGAGAGCACCTAGGCTTTGTGGGTCACGTCGCTTCTGGGGGCTGACGTCAGTGAACCCAGTTTGGAACAATTCAGGGACTGGGCCAAAGCTGAGGCTGAGGGGAAAAGAAAGGGCAGCGGGCCAGAGGGTAGTGGCTGCTCGTCTGGCCTGTAGGTGTAAAGCCCATGCCTGGTGGAGGGGGGCGCTGTTTTGGATAAACCAAAAAATCTGGACCCTCACATCCCACTTCCATATTTACTGAGACAGTGACTGCCCTCTGTGCCACGCAGACTGTGGGCGATAGTGTAAGAAATGACAGCTCACTCACTGGTATTCTCCATTATTATTATTTTTATCATCATCATCATCTGATCTCCCTTCCACCTGTGAGCCCATGAGTGGGTACAGTTGGGCCACCCTAGAGGGTTTCCAGCCAGCAATGCCACGGGGGGAAGGACCTAAACCCCAACCTGGGCAGAAGGAGAGGCCCACGGGGGTCACACCTGCCACGGCTGGCCTGCCCTCTGGGTCCTAAACCGCAGCCGATCCCCGGGTTCTCCACCCTCTGAACTCCCCTAGCTTTTGTCTGCTCTTCCTCCCCCAGCTGTTCCATTCAGCAGCCCCTTGGACAACCTGCCCTCCCCTCTCAGAGGCCTCCATTAAGGCGAGCGGTCAGAGGCCAGCCCAGCACGTGCCTCGTCTTATCAGCCCATCTCAAGATCCTGCTCCTCCGGCTTGGGCAACAAAAAAGGAGGCGGCCCGGGTCCACTGGCTCCCCGCAGCCTCACACACAAAAGGGCGGGCGACAAAGACATTTTCCGGGATGGCAGGTGTTGGTGTCAGATTCCGCCCAGACAGCACGGGGCAGAAGAAAGGCGAGGCTGGGTTTCCCCGGGCAGCGCAGACATGCAGGGGCAGGAGTGCAGGCAGGGCCCCGGGGGAGGGAGGTGGAGGCAAGGAACCCGAGGGGCATTTCAGCGCGGTGTTAGCCGTGGAGGGAGGCTGTTAGTGAATTCACACACCCTCCCTCAGAGCAGGCTGCCTGGGGAAATCTGCTGCATGTCAGTCTTACCTTGCTCAAATATTGCAATGAGACCTTTATGTATTTTAATCTGAAGGAAAAGAACATAATACCAAATGAATACAAGCCCAGCACCCACAGCCCAACGTGACAATGAACATAGTGCTAAGCATCCATTACTGCTGGGCTGCCTGAGTGCTGCCGCAGCGCTGGAGATCATTACAAACTGAAAATTCACCTAAAATTCGACTTGGCAGGACAGAATTCTAGCTGCGGTCACATTGATAAATGTGACATGAACAGACATTAGCGTTCCTAGGATGTATGACGCAGATGCTGCTGGGAGCCCTACAGGCACTGGGCAGCATGGACCACTGTATCCTCTCCTTGCTGCCCAATATTTCCTGACTGATTGGGTCTAAAACATGGTCAAAGATAAGAGTTTTCAAGACAAGCATTTAGAATTCAAAGGATGACCTGAAAAAATAATTGATACCCTTTAAGTGTGCCATGTTACATGTCTGTCAAGTTTCATTTTCAGGTTTCTGAGTGGTACATAGTGTGTTAATTCAGTACTAGTGTCACCTTCAATGTGACAGACTGGGAGGAAGCATACAGTGTGCTGTGCAGAGGGTGGCTTGGGAAGGGGACCCTCGGTGGTGAAATGGGACACAAGGTCACCCTCACAGAGCAGTGGATCTTAGCAGTTACCCCAAACCCGAGAGAGGATCTGAGCTTTTCAACCTTGTGACAAGTTTTCCCACTCCCCCAGCCCTCCCACAGCCATCCTATTTCCTATGTGGGTTTGCCTTAGCAAACGCAGCCTCTGTCGGCATCAGGCAATAGCTCCTCACCCCAAACGCCACAACACTCCTGAATTCAGCGTCACTGGACCACCATCAAATTGGGACAAAGGACACTTATCAGTGACACAGACTGTTGTGTGCATGGCCACAGGTGTAAACTTGGACTGTCTGCTGACCCCACCTGCCAAGGCTGGCACAGTGGCCAGGGCCAGTTTCTAAGATGGTGGTTCAGAATGCCATCAGAGGAAGGACCACTGCCATACTCTTAGGTGGGGCTCTCTGAAAGAAATGTGGACGTCTATGAAGCCATAGTTTCCAATCTGCTGAGGAAAACTCATTCCCTCTCCCTCCAAAAAAAAATTATTTGGGGTAAGAATTTCAGGATAAATAAGCGATCACAGATGATCCTGTAGCATCCTGTTTTACTTGATTTCCAACCTCTGTTAACTGCTCCTTGTCTACATGTTGATTGTGCTCTAGGGGCACAAGAAGTTCTTGGGCTGGTGGTGATTGTTGGTAACAGACTAGAATGTTTTCCGTGGATCCTCTAGATAATGTGATTATCGAGATTTCCTGTTTTCCCCCAATGCACTGTGCTGTGGGGCTGTTTCCTCTTATGGAAGATGCAAACATACAGGAAGCCTGCGTGGGTCTTCCTGGAGTTGAGGAAGTTCAGTTTTTCAGGGCACCATGCTACTGACCCTCTCCAGTGGGAGCAAAGGGTCTCTTCATGAAGGGGCTCCTTGGTCTCCCTCCCCGGCTGCCCCCTCAGCCCTGGTTATACTGGGCGTACAGGCACTGGATTGGTAGAAACCAAGAAAACAGATGGTACAGCTAACAATGGAGGGCTTGTTTGTAATTGCTGATGAGGACTGGTTTGCTCCTCTCCCCAGTGCGTCCCCAGATGCAGCCTGGTGTGGTGTGCTGGACCAAACAGAATGTCTTGATAACTGCCAATCCATGGTTGAGTTAAGGAGATACAAAGACAGACAGTTGGGGGCTGCCTTAATTATTCCATGGGGCTCGAATGTCACTTGCCCTTGACACACAGGCAATGCTACCAAGGGGTGGGGGCCCCATTCTTGGAACAGAGGAGTGGGCTGTCAGCTTCCTGATACATCCCTGGGGGCAAGCATGAGGTTCCAACCAACTGGGCAGTGTTGGAAGGCACCAGAAGAGACCACTGTGCTTGGAGAGGAGGGATGGAAAGAGAATAGGAGGCATGTGATGCCTGCAGGTGTGGGGGAGAGACACAAAGCATAACTATGTCATCCTTTCATTGCTGGGCCCCTGATCTGTGCCCGGGGCTGTTCTAGGCTCTGGGTTACGGCAGTGAACACAGCAGAGAGGCTCCTGCCTTTGACGGCCTTTCGTGGAGGAGTTACGGCATGCCTTCTAACAGGATGATATCACCCCTGGGGGGGAACAATATCTTACTCTTTATATCTATAAAGCTCAGATAGAAGTATGGTGAATAAACAGACACACAGTATTTCTGTGGTGTTTCAGGGGAGGGGATAAAGGGAACAAACATGTCTTAGAAGGCTCCACAGTGAGGCAATAATGAGAAAAAGGTTGAGGAACATTAAATGGTAGGGTTAATAGGTGTCTTTAATTCAAGATGTTTCTTATACATTAGTGGTGCTGGGGATCAGGAGTCAGCCCAGCTTGCATCCAAGAGCAGCTGAGTGAGACACCTCTGGGGAGAGCCCTTGAAGTGTAACTCAAGATACTGATGGGCCACACTGCGGCCACTTAGCAGCTCAGATGCAGAGTGGGAGCCCCAAGAATCCGGAAGTCGCTTTTGGAGAAAGATGCCTTACATCTTTGGTCTCCTGTGACTCCTCTGATGCTCTGGATATCAGCAAGGATTTAAGAAAACACAGGAAACAATAGTCTCGGTTGGGGATATGCTGTGTTCTGCACAGCTCGGCCTAGTGGAGGTTTTTCAAGAACTGGTGGGTCTTTTTATGGCATGTTTTCTCTGGCTGTACTCACTAGGGGAGCAAAAGAGCAAGGATTTGAACCGAGCTGCTTCTCTCGGAGGAAAGGCTGACATCCAGAACTGCCACCTGGGATAATGCTGGGCAGGGTCAGACAAGAAAAGTGGCTGCGTCTCCCTGGGTCCTTGTTACTGAACAGTCAGTGTGGAAAATGATTAACTGGTTCAAGATAATTAGGGAAGGGAATGATTTTGAGAGCTGGCATGGATGAGGGAGAGAAATAGTGGACTAGGGTTCCAGCTTTAGGCAAGTGCTAAATATCCTCCCAGCAGGAAGGCGGACAGAGCGGGAGATCAGAGAGCTGTCTGGGCTATTCAGACCTCTTGGAATGGCTCTGAGGAAGGGAACAGGTGCAGCAGTGGATGGGGTAAGCCTACACACTCAACTCAACACTGGCAACCCAAGACCAGTGGGAATTAGCCAGCCTAATTAACATTTCCAAATGGCCCAAGGATGGCTTCCAGTATTTCCAACCCAGCAGCAGTGGCTGTGTCCTGGCCCCAGCCCTGGCTCTGGGCTCAGCTTACTCTTTTTGGTTGTTGGTCTTGCTCATCAACTTTGGTTCCGAAGCAGAAAGCTAGGACAGCTGGACCACTCTCTCTTAGGCAGGCAGAGAGAGAGTGCATGTATTGTGTGCCTGCATGTGCATATGGACCTGTGTGAGGGGCTAAGCGAGCGGGTGGAACATTCATGAAAAAACTTTTCTGGTATTTTTCTCTTCCCTTCCACAACTATAATGTACTCTTATTGATCTATGACTAAATTTAACTAAATTATAAATTAAAAATTAATATCTTGGTGTCAACTTTCTTTTAAGGCCCTCATGGAGAAGGAGGTTTCCAGACCCTCTCACTGTCTCAGAGAACACGAATATCAAGATCTCAGTTACAACTTAGCCATGGTAGGCTGTTCATTTTACCAGACTGAATCCACATCTCAAAATGGGAAAATAGCACACAAATGCTTGTAGCAGCAATATTCATAAAAGCCAAAAAGTAGAAATAGCTCACATGTCCTTCAACTCATGAATGGACAACCAAAATGTGGCCTACCCTTATAATGGAATACTATTTGGCAAGAAAAAGAAGTAAAATAATGATACAGGCTACAAGATGGACAAACACTGAGAACATCCTAAGTGATAGAAGTTAGTCACCAAAGACCACATATTGTAGGATTTCACTTAAATGAAATGTTCAGAATAGAATGTCTCCGTAGAGACAGAAAGTAGACTAGTGGCTGCTTAGGGCTGGGGGTGGAGTAGGGGGCATGGGGATCAACTACTAGTGGGTTTATTATTATTATTATTATTATTGCAGGGAAAGATTTGCCCTAACACCTGTTGCCAATCTTCCTCTTTTTTCTCCCCCTCCCAAAGCCCCAGTACATGGCTGGATATCCTAGGTGTAAGTTGTTCTAGTTCTTCTATGTGAGCCACCACCACGTCATGGCAACTGACAGATGGGTGGGTGGTGTGGTTCTGTGACCCAGAAACGAAACCAGGCTACCGAAGCGGTGAGCACCATACTTGACCCACTAGGCCATCAGGGCTCTATTATTTTTTTATTTTTTAGGAGGGATAAAAATGCTCTAAAATTAGGGGCTGGCCCCACGGCCAAGTGATTAAGTCCACAAGCTCCACTTTAGCAGCCTGGGGTTTGCCAGTTTGGATCCTGGGCACTAACCTACACACTGCTCATCAAGCCATCATGAGGCGGTGTCCCACATAGAAGAACTAGAATGACCTACAACGAGGATATACAACTATGTACTGGGCCTTTGGGGAGAAAAGAAATGTTCTAAAATTAGATTGTGGTGATGGGTGCCCTACCTTGTGAATAGACTACAAACACTGAATTCTTTACTTCAAATGGGTGAACTGTATGGTATGTGAATTAATCTCGATAACACTGTTTGTAAAAATGGCAAAATCGACTAGAAGGTGGTCTGGGCGCACTACTGCCACTACTTTTCCGAAGGTGACACAACAGAAGGGCCTCCGAGCTCCAGGAAAACAAAATCCCCTGTGGGCACCTTGGGAGGCAGGGGCACAGGGCTGGCTGTGAAGGTTAGCAGATGCCACCAGCAACTCTCCCTCTGTTTCACGCTACAGACTTTAACTATCCTCAAAGCAAAGAAAATGGGGCTACCCCTCAGGCAACCCTCTTCTCTTCTCTTCAGCGTTGTCTCTTGGGTTTATTGCAACTTGAATTCATCTGTCATAAAAAACCTCAAGAGTATAAGGTGGGATTACAGTGTGACTCCCTGGGACACACTGGGAT